TTAACTTTTTAAGAGCTTGTAAAGCAATATGAATGGTTTAATTTTGTTTTCGAGGAACATTTCAAAAGCACCTGTTGCGGTTTAACCAACATAACTTATGGAGGAAGCATTGCTATAAAGTGCAAATTCCATATTTAGTTTCAGCAGCTCTAACCTTAGTATAGGAGTTTTCAGTTTGTTTACATTGCTTTCTGGGGCGAAATAGGATCCATAATTTCAAAACCCTTCTTAAAGTTCCTACCGTAATCCTACAGCAACGAGTATGGATCAGTGTCTTGCTCCATACTGTATATCTAAGTTGTAGCCAGCTCTACAGAATAGTGCCTGGAGCTAGGCAAAACACTTCTTTGAAGAGGGATATCAACGTCAGACCGTGTATACATACTTTTGGGACACCCTTTTTGGCCGTAAAAAATAGCTGCGGGGTGCAGTCGGAAAATGTGCGCCAGTTGGGTTTTTTTCGAGCAAGTGTTACCAACACCGCAGATCACTACGATATCCTAAATAGTAATAACACAAATCAATAGTGATAATAGTAACCTAAATAATGACCTAACCTATTTAAGTATATAATAACCTTACACAGAATTTTACTTACTCCTTTGAATTATCAGCATCATTAAGGAAGCGCGATATCAATGCAGCGTGGACAATGCTGCGAAGTGACCGACAAAGATCGCACTGAAGTTTCTGATTACTTAAAGGTAGTTTTGATACACTCTTGCATAGGTAATCTTACTGTATGAACATTGTACTATTTTTTAGGAAAACGTTGGTCGAGTTGTGAAGGTTTCAGTGCTGATAAAAATGGACGCAAAGTTGTTTGATCCATATACTTACCTAGACAAGGTCAGTTACTTTTGTTTTGTTTTCACACTCTCTGGTAAAATCATTTTAGGTCTCCCCAACCCCTCACAAGTCCTTCCTAACCACCAATTACAATGCAAGAGTGAACAGTAAAGTGTGGAGGAGACGGTCGAGAAAGTAGGCATCATTCATTC